GGGGGGGCACGGAGATGGACGGCGACGGCTCACGACCAGGGTCCAGCTGCCGGCAAAGTACGTGTTATTCCTGCCGTTGAGGAAGCGCATGCACGGCACGACGCGGAGGTAGTGCTGCCACCGGTGGCCGAGCTGGTGCCACCACTGGCGCTTGATGATCTTGGACTCGTTGATCTCCCCCATGGTCCACAGGTGTTCGCAGCGCTTGTCGAGGAAGATGCTCTGGTACACATGCTCGCGCCCGCCGGCGCCGATGAGCTGGTGCTGGTAGTTGCTGCAGTCGAACGACATCTCGATCTTAGACTGGACGCCGTCGTAGCTCTTTGTGAAGTACATGGGGCGGAACCCTTGGCCTCCGGACGGGGCTGGATGGGAAGGGGACGCGTCGGCGGCGGCGGCGCCGTCGTCGTCGTCGTCATCGTCGTCCGGGCAGCTGTTTTTGCCGCCGCCGCTGCCGCCGCTGTCGCCGCGAGCAACCTCGACCTGCTGCCGCTGGGCGTCGTTTCGGGGCGACGCGCAGAGGTCGTTCTTGAAGCGCGTCTCGTACTGGCGGTTGAAGTAGGCGTGGTCGTGGTGCGTGACGGTAACGTCGTCGTAGAACTTGGCGCCCGACAGCACGAACCTCTCGCGCAAAGAGGCGGACTCGCCGAGGATGCGCAGGGCGTCGTCGGCGAGGGTGCAAAAGACCATGTCGTCAAACACCTAGAAATGGTCGGATCAGTCATCAACAGTGTCTTGTAAGAGTAATGAGTGTGTTTTCAAACCTCATGGCCCGTTTCCGACACGGGCTCGCCGGCATCGTTGACCACCCGCGTTTGCAGTAGGATACCCTTGCTGGTGCGCGCCGCAACCTTGACAACCTCGTTGTTCAGGCGGATCGACACGCCGCGCCGCACGAGATCTTGCCGCCATTCCTCGTAGAAGGAGCCGAGGTTGTCAAACGTGACCATGGTTGGAAGGTTAGGAAGCAGAGTGCCCTTGTCGTAGTCCCACAGCCGCATGTTGGGGTCGTCAAACAGCCGCTCGACGATGGCCGAGGGGACGTGGCGCGTCTGGTTCCCCGTCCCGAGGAAGAGCGCAATCAAGGGATAGACCATCTTTTCCTCGAACCCCTTACTAAACAGCATGAGGCGCATCATAAGGTGGATGGGGATGAGGCCAAGCACAGGCATGCCCCATTTGACCAGAAATAGGAACAGACCGAACTTTTTGATGTCACCAGAGAACTGCTCGACGAGCCTGCTCGGGAAGCAGTTGGTCCAGAAGCCGTCGACGCCCTTACCGAACGAGACCTGAAGTTGGACCTCGCGAGGCTCGTGGTTGTACTTTTTGAAGAAGTTGAACGTGTGCTTGAATATCTTTACGGAAAGAGGAAGAGATAAGGGATTAGATTCAACGTCGGGTCTAACGATTTTGGCGGTGCTGCAGGGCAAACAACCCACCGTTGATCCCCCCTGGACGCCATTGTTCAACCACGATGCGCCGAATCTAGCCTCGTCGATGGGGATAGTGGTTGCCTGTCCACCAGGCACCGGCGATCGTTCAAAGACGGTGACTTTGAACTTGTCTGGGTGCTGTGCAAGCGTTGTAGCGCAGGACTAAGACAAAGGTTGGACTGTCAGAATCTTTGAGCGCGAGCTGCTATCGTGAGAGGTACAAGCATATACGGACCATTCCTGCAGCACCACCGCCAATGACGGCCACCTTCTTGGGCCTTGGGCTTTGCGACATGTTGCTCTATGGTAGCCCGAGAAACCCTCGCGATACGTTGTGTGCGGTGGAAGACCCTGGGATGATGGCTGGGCCTGACACGGGGGTGTTGATGGGCTCATATAGCAGGGGCGGGCTGAGACAAGCTCATGCTTTTGAGCACGGCTTCGCGGTCGTCATTGATAGTGCTAGCTCATCATCGGCGCTTGGTCCTCGCCAATAACGGGGGCAGCACACAGCGATAGACGGCAAAACGGCCTTGGAAAAAAGCACCACGAGGCAAAAAGAAGTGGTTGGCATTCAGTGGCGGGGCTGGGGTGGTCTGGTCCGTTCTGTCCTAGTTTATCTCTATGTACGACCTCTAATGGAAACCCGCTCAGTGTCGATGGAAGTCCTTCCATCGGGGCCCAAGATCGAGGGCCGCAAATGGGCCAGCCAATCAGGGGACAGGGAACTGGCTGGTCCCACCATATGTGGGGATGTTCAATCCATTCAACAGGCCTTTCGACAACAAATAAGTCGCGATTAACGTTATCACCTGCACCAATAACAGCGCATTAATTAACGCTTATGCTTTAAAGCTATCGCGGAGGTAGTCTTTCCTTCGCGCTGCAGGTTAGCTCCTCCCTGTACGCTCCACAAGTGGGTAATGGGGGCTCGATTTAGGTGGGTCGCATTTTTGGCGGTTGATGTCGTACCGGCCGCGGCGGGACGAGCGCCAAGACGCCATCAAGGCCCTGCCCGCCTCGCAACTCGGTACTCGCGTGGAAAGTCACCTGCTTTCGCGAGCCCCCACTCTGGGTTCAACCGCTAACAAACGCGTCCTCGTCAACTAGAAGCAGAGTACCCGTCCCGAATCACCAACATTACGGGAATCTTCGTTAATTCCCGGGCGATTGCTACAAGGCACAGGGCTCCCGAGCGGTTTTTTGTTTCCTGCATAATGGACCCAAACTGGGCATCCGAGTTCAACGACGGGGAGGACGAGGATGAAGCGCTCCGCCGCGCCATCGCCCTCTCCATGGGCCAGGATGTCTCTCCCGAGCCGGAAGGCGCTTCCCCGTCTGTCCACAAAGACAGAGCTGCCGTTGGAGAGACGGTCGATCTGACGTCCTCCTCGCCTGGCCCGAGCGAAGATGATGGCGCCACCAAGGCACCATCTCCAGGCCCGCCTGTCGCTGCCACACCAGCGGCCGCAGCTGCTGCCACCTCGTCTATCTTCGGCCTGGATAGGAAGAAAATGGAGGAGGAACGCCTGGCCAGGATGTCAAAGAGGAAGGCATCCGAGGCCGGCCTCTCACCGACCGAGGAGAGGCCTCAACAGCGCTCAAAGGTGCTCGATCATCCATCTTCGGGCATCGTTCCTCCCCATCTCGGCCAGGCCATAGCTGAGGCGGCCAAGCCGCCAGTTGCCTCTGTCGCGCGCTCTTCTGAAAAGGCATCCTCCCGGCCTCTGGCCTCCCCAGCTGGTGCCGACTCGACACTCCCTGTCTTCCCCAAGGGGGTTGTCAAGAGAACATGGCTGCGCGGCCAGCCCATGACCTCGGACGACATCACGATCGACCAAGTTCTGCAAAAGGACATGTTGCAGATGGCGGTGCTAAGTAGCTTCCAGTGGGATACAGACTGGCTTTGGCGGAAGGTGAACCCGATGAAGACCAAGATCACGCTGGTCGCGTACGCGGGTAACGAGGTAGAGGTGCGAGCGTTCTTATCTATCACTGCATCTCTCGTCTTCTTTCGCTTTCACGGTCACCATATCTACCATGGGTTGCGCCGTGCGAGAACCATTCTGACTGCTATCGTGATGAACAGAAGGCTGCCGTCGTCGAGAGCGCTCGAGGAATAGCCCGCCTGTGTTTCCCGCCCATGAATGGATTTGGCTATATGCACTCGAAGCTCCAGCTCCTCAAGTTCCCTGGATTCCTTCGTATTGTTGTGCCATCCGGAAATCTTGTCTCGTATGACTGGGGTGAAACAGGAACTATGGAAAACGTAGGGTGATGTCCAAGAACACTCCTGGTCATTATTGCACATTTGTCTGACAATTCGGTATGCTGATGATTTTGGATATCTAGGTGGTCTTCATAATCGACCTCCCGCCTGTTGGTGACCTTGCCGGGTCAGAGGGCAACACCCTAACCAGCTTTGGAGAGGATCTCTGCTACTTTCTCAAGGCCCAAGGACTCGAAGAGTCCCTCATCAAGAGTCTGCGGAAATACGACTTCACTGAAACATCTCGTTATGGCTTTGTTCATAGCATGTGAGTTTCTCATGAGCCCCTTCCCCACCGCCATTGTCACATCAGAGTGGCGTTTTACGTGGTTCAAGATTTAGTAACGACAGGCTTCTAGACCTGGCTCGCACATGGGCGACTCCTGGAATCAGACTGGTGAGTGGGACGGCGGCTGGCCTGCCGATTGCAACACCGGCCGTGCAAACATGACCACCTCGCCAAGGAGAATCACATTCCTAACTCACAGTCGTTGCGCATAGGATACTGCGGTCTTGGCAGAGCGGTCAACAAGCTGGGATTGGCAACCGACCAGCCTATCGAGGTTGACCTTGTGGTTAGTTACCCCGTCTGTCTCCAAACGCGCCCCCACGACATCTGCCACGCAGCTGCCACAATGCTGCTGCAGGAGGGCTAGGTTAAGTTTGAGTTTATCGAGTCTAGCGTGAATCTCAGCCACTGACGTCGACTAGGCCTCTTCAATAGGGTCCCTCACCTCTAAATTCTGTTCAGCCTTGTACAAGGCTTGCCAAGGTGAGCAGGGATCCATCCCTTGGCGCTCTGGACAAGACGCGGAGAGGAGCCCAGAGCTTGCCTGGCTTGGTGGACGGCCGGCGGGTATGTACTGACATCAGCGACGCCCAGGCGACTCCGGGATCAAGGAGCACGAATCCAAGGGAGCCAAGGCCAAGAACGGTATGGGCGGCGCCGCGTCAACAACGCAAGCTGCCCTGGCCCAGAGGTTTCGTGTCTACTTCCCCTCTCTCCAGAGCGTGGTAGCAAGCCGAGGCGGCCGGAATGTGAGAGTCCACGCAGCCGTGATTGTTGTGACCTGACTCGGTCCGAGGAGATGGAGAATTTGGCTGACGTAGCTGCGGAGTGGATGTCCTCCCGACGCGACGTGCTCTCAGTCAGCAGGCACCACCTGCCTGCAGTCCCGATGGTGGAACTTGCCATCCTTCCCTCGGGAGCTGTTCCGCGACTACATGAACCCCAGGCGGGTGCTGGTGCACAGCAAAATCATCTTCGTTCGAGCGCCAAGCGGCGGCGCTAGCTGGGCCTACGTCGGCAGTGCCAACCTCTCCGAGAGTGCCTGGTGAGTTTGCTTTCTCGCTGCCGATAGCAACTGGCGGCCGACCCCATGGACCACTTCCTCACGCTTCCCGCCTGCTTTTTACCGAACGCACCTCCTCCTGTCCCCCAAGACGCGCCGTCCCGTTAGGAAATCTGCCTCGCTCGTTTGGGTATCCTGACTTGCCCTCGTGCGGCCCTCGATCGCGATCCGATGTGTGAAGTCACTCGTCCCGTGGTGTGGCAAACCGCATGCTGCTGTTATACATATTCGAAACAGAATGGCCGAGCTTAAAAGCTAACGGCACCTTCCTCCCGGGCAGGGGCAAGCTAGTGAAGGACAGGACGAGCTCCAGCCCCAAGATGACCTGTCGCAACTGGGAGAGCGGGGTCATCGTCCCTGCAGGCTCCGGCCACGAGCTCAAGCACCAGGGCCACGGCCGGGCGGAGGGCGCGGGGATCTGCGGGAGTGTGGGCGCCGTTTTCGAGGGTTGCGTGCCCCTGCCCATGACCCTACCCGGGACCGAGTACGCCTCAGGGGACGGAACGAGGCTGCCGTGGTTCATCGATCAACATTGAGAACGGCCCAGCCAGGCCGGCCAGGGCCATGACCTCCAGACCATGATCTCCAGGCCAAAGTCCTAGACACCTCCGCATCCAAATACTGTTAAATTTCTTTTTATCTCTACCGTAATGCTGTTACTGCTTCTCTCCTCTTTTATTGTCCTGTTTGATTGATTGTTTTATTTATTTACCAGTTCGGGTGCGTATCATGCACCTCCGCGACTCATGCTGGACTGGAGGACGGACTTGGCTGCCCGCCAACGTTGTGTGTCGCTTCCCTTCCCCATCGCCCTTATTTAGGAGCCATGCTTTGTTTGCGCTAGTCTTGGCGTCTCGCGGTGATGTAGTTTTGGGGAAGCACAGCCGGGGCGGTCTCATCTGCCGGGCCAGGCCAGGCTGTTTAGCGCCGTGATGCTACCATTACCACCACCACCGCAACCGCAACCACCACCTCTCTGAACCAAGTGGGCCGGCCATGAGACTGGCAGGTCGCCAATGGGGCGTAGGCAACCACGCACTGTGGTGTGCGGCATATACGGAGCTAGGTATCGTGTTCCCCCCACCCTGGGATTGATTGATGGCCGTCGGGCTAGTAGCGTGCTCAAGTGGAGGGACAGGATGGCTGGGCGACGCCGTCTCGCCCGGGATCCCAGCCGAGAGGCCGGTGCGTGTCTTGGCGTGCCGCCGTCGTCGGGCTGGACAAAAAGGACGGGGGACGGACGACGGGACCGTCCCATCGACTCGCAAGGTCCATCAGGGGCGTGTGTGTGTGTGTGTGTGTGTACAGGGTACAAGGATATTAAAAGTTACGACCCACATATCTTTCCTAATTAAGCCACGTTCAATTTATATTTTTCTTATAAAAAACTCGCTAGGTCGGTATATTGCCGCCCGCACTTTTATTTGCTAAAACTTATTAAAATTATTACTTAGCTAAGGTTTAATTTGCACGGATAAAATATTAACGCTAGCAGTAAAGTAATGGGTATATTAATTTGCATTGCAATATTTTTAATTAACGTATTTTAACGCTGGTAATTTATTTATTTATACGCTGTTTTGTTTATAAGCGAAACCTTAATGCTATTGCTATAGTAATGCGTGGGGGAAACCTTTAAGTAGTGCTTAAGGAGGAAATCCCTGCGCTTGCAAATCGGTGTCGGTGTTAAGGGTCGATCGGTGCAGAAGCGGGTGGTTACCAGGTTACGGGCCGGATGCGGTGTTTCCTTTGTTAAGCCTCCGTAAATTTCTTACCAAAAGTGCTATTTCCAACAAAAATTGTGTTACGACCAACAACCACCCGGCCAGGACTGGAGGCCAGGGAAGCGAAGGGAAAGCACGCGCTTACCCCTTACCACAGGGAAGCTTAAGTAAGCCGCTTGTAATTTGTTAACAAGGTTACAAATCACTTACGTAATCTGTAATTTGTTAACAAAATTACAAGTTACCACTTTGGGAAGCTTGGAAACAATTTAAAAAACGGGCTATAAAAAGGAAAGGTTTTTTACTGTTTTAGGTAATTTTTAAGTAAGGCTTTGGCATTAATTAAATTTTAATTAGCTTTTAAGTAACCTTTAAAGCAAGCATTTAAACCGCACCCAAATTACTTTGTAAATCTTTTTAATTTGTTAAATTACGTGCTATTATTTAATATTTTTTTAATGCCTTACTTTAAAAGCAAAAGCTTAATTGTAACATTTTAATTAATTTTGTTTAGCACCCGAACCGGTACCGAACAATAACAATAACGGCTTAGCCAGCCCAAATTCCCGTTTTTAATAACGACGAAAAAAAAAGTGCTTAATACCTTTACTTACGAAAAAGTTATATATAACCTAAACGAAAAGGATTAAGCAACCTAAGCGCTATTTGCAATATTCCAAACCGTAACCCAATTATAAGCCCAAATTAACACTTTTTGTATAATTACCAAAACGTACAATTTTTTTACGTTTAATTGCTACAATAAAAAGGACGGGGCTTTTAAAGCCTTTTTAACGAAATGCTAAAGCTTTTTTGCCTTTTATTATAACCAATTTAATACGGAACAACAAAAGGTTGCTTATGCAACCATTTGCTTTAAAAGCAAAATTAAAAAATGGTTCGAACCCGTATAGGCAAATTTCTTTAAAAATTACAACGAAAGCAAAAAAAAACCAAAATTATTTTTGCTAATTTCGCCCGGTTCGAAAAAAAAATTACTAACGTATTTGGCCAAATTAACAAATAATAAATTGCCGAAAAAAAAATATTCCAATTTTAACAAAAAAGCGCAACGTTAAAGTACGTTTCCAATTTCCAACGTTTTGCTAACAAATTCGATTAAACCAACCAAACCAAAATGGCCCATTTATATAATAAATTCCGAAACAACGTAAAAAACGAAGTTTTAAAAATTAACCAACCCAAATCCTTTGCCAAATACATTGCTATCGTAATTAAAATTAGCAACAAATTGTATAAGCGCCGTTTGGAAAAAAAAAGCTAAAAAACCAAATTTGTAATACAAAGTAACTAACCGCAACGGCGGTTTAACCGCAACAAATTTACAGTTTATAATTGTTATTTTGGCTTTATAAATTTTAACGCCGGCGCTACGCATTAAAAGCTAAAAAAACGCAAATTCCAAAACCTTAAAAATAACAAATGTTTTTAATATAAATAATTTGGGCATATTAAAAAAAATTGCTTTTAAAGGAAAAAACAAAAAAAATGTTTTAAAATGGAAAAACGAAAGTGGCGATAAAACCGGAAAATAATGGTTATTCCGGCTTTGCGTTTTTTTAAATTGCATGCATTAATAACCATTGCGTTGCTTACCATTTCGACAAAAATGCAACAAAGTAATTTCCCCGCAAGCAATTAGTTATAACCAAACGAAAAAACCTTGTAACAATTTGCAGCAATAACCCCGCCGGTTTTAACAACGAAAGCAATTAAGCTTAAATTAACAAGCATATTAAAAAAAACCCGGGCTTAAAATTCCTTTTGTTTGAAAACCTTAAGTTACAAAACGAAATACTTTAAAAGCAGCTTTTGCGCGCTGCCAAACAAAAAGGAATTTCGAATGCTTTCGTTACGGAACGAAACCCTAAAAACGAAACGGCTTTACAAAAGTACAATTTAAATTTTTGGGTTAAAACCAGTTTAATCCTTAACTTTAAATTAAAAAGCAACGAAAAAAAGTACGAATTAATTATAAAAAATGTTGTAAAATTTTTTTAAAACCCGAACCTTGCTTTTTTTAAACCGGTAAAGGTTTGGGTAGCAAATAAAAGTTTTTACGAACGAATAACGTTCGAAAGCAGCAAATCCAAAAAAAAGCAACGAAAAAAGTTTAAACAGCTTTCGCCGATACGCCAAAAACACCCGCGTTTTGCAAAAATACATACGGGCGGCGTACTAAAAACGGTACTAACAAAAGTATAAGTTAAAACGCAACCAAAGCGTTAATTTACAGGATTTTTGAACGCAAGCCGAACGTTAGCCAAAAAAGGAATATAAACCGGACCGCAACCAATTTGTTGTAATTGGAACCAACGGTTTAATATATGCATGCGCAGTAATATTAAGTTAAGCTAACTACAAAACATTCCGTTAAAGCGGGCTTGCTATGCAAAAGCCAAAAAAAAGGTTGCATTTAGCACGTTTAAAAGCAATAATTAAGCAATTTCAAAAAGGTAAAAAAGCTTAAAACAAAGTTAAAATTTAACGGTGCTTTTAAAACGTTAATTTACTAAACGAAAACGGCATTTTTTACGAAACTATAACAATTAAAAACAATTTTAAGCGCCCCGTTAATTAGCTTAGTAATAACCATTTAATTACGTACCGAAAGTATATCCGGTTACAAGCGTATAGCTAAAAATGGGCTAAAAAGCTGCAAAATAGCATTAGGAAAAAAAACCACAATAATTTTATGCTTAATTACCAAAAGCATTTGTAATTATTTTAGGGGAAATGCTTTGCTACAAATTATGCAATACATTTGGTTTAAAAGCTCCAAAACGATTTTTTTTTGTTAATAAACCAACGAGCTAATTACCAAGCTTAAATTAGCATAGCAATTACCCAAATGGTTTATTACCAAAAGGTACGAAAAATTAGCAATGTTCCAATCCAATTTTTAGTAACCCATGCTTTGCGTTGTTAAAATCCTGGAATGGCAAAAATGCAAAAAATTGGAATGCTAAATCCACATTATGCAAAAAGCCAAAGCATGGCAAATAGGATATAAGCTTTTATACATACCAATACGGTACGACAAAAACGTAAAAAGCTTGTATAAATTTCCCCGCAACCCCAATAACTTAAAATACGTAAAAGTACGCAAAAAATGGGAAATAAAGCTATCCAAACTTTAAATAAAGCATTTCGAAACAAAAAATTAAAAAATTTACTTATACCAAAGCCACAAAAAAAACAACCATTTGCAACAAAAACTTTAGCAATAACAATTAGCCCAAATAAATAATATTTTTACATACGGGTGCGATAAAGCCTTTATTGCTTAAAATTTTTAATTAATTGCGGTATTTAAAACAATTACGTATCGCTACAAGCAATATTGCAATACGGTATTTTTATACGCAAAAAAAACAAGCCGTACCTTTTCAAAATTATAAAAAAAAGCTTGTTAAATATAACAACGAATAAATTAATATTAAAACCGATTATTTTAATTTACAATACCAAAGCAAAACTTTTAAATAACGCTAAACGCGTTAAAAATACGGAACGAAAATGTGGTTTTTAAAATTCCGTAATTACAAAAGCATAATCCAAAAATTAATTAAAAAAAAACAATTTCCAATAAAAGCTTTTATTAACAATTAAAAAAGCTTAATAATTACGGACCGCAAGCAATGTAAAAATAAAACCAAAAAAAGGTATTTCGACGGAAACAAAGCAAAGTAACAACTTTCGAACTTTATTACAAAAAACCATAACAACGCTTTACAATGGATTTAAACAAAAGCTATAACAATTAATTAATGTATTTCCGAAATATTATAAGTATTGGAAGTTATTCCAAAAAAACCTAAAAACGGTGCTTCCAAAATACGGGCCGTTTAATTACGAAATTAAATTAAAACCAAATGCGCAATTTAAATACCAAAAATTGTACTAACTTAACCCCAAGCAATAAAAAAGGTTAAAAAAGCAATTACAAAAGGATTTAAAAAAAAAGGGTAATTAAACTTTTAACATTTCCAATAAAATACGGAATTTTGTTTGTGCCCAAAAAACGGAAAAAAACGAATATGCATTAATTACCAACCATTAAACGAAATTACGATAAAGGATTGGTATTTTTTGCTTTTTATTAATAAATTACGCAATAAGTTCGGCAAAGTGTTAGGGGTTAATCGGTGCAGAGGCGGGTGGTTACCGGGTTACGGGCCGGATGCGGTGTTTCCTTTGTTAAGCCTCCGTAAATCTCCTACCAAAAGTGCTATCGCTTACAAAAATTGTTCCTTTTTTGACCTCCCCTTCCTTCGTGCCCCTTCGGGCACCCGGGGTCGGTCTTTTAAATTTTCCGCGCTCCAAGCGCTTTCGTACAATTTAAACTTTACTTTATTTTTTAGCTTTGCCATTATGCTTTGGCCGCAATACCGGTAATTCGCCGGCATATTTCCGGAAAATCCGTGCCCGGTTGGTTGCTAGCGCCC